CATTAACCATATTGCGCGCATTGCCGCTGAGGCAGATGTTGAAACTGATCTAGTCAAGTCGTGTATGCAGAATTTGGCCTACTACGGTGTAGTACAATTGTTGCCTATTTTAAAATATAGCAATGTATATATGTGCACACAGAATCTTAAGAATCTTATACAAAACACGTCTCTAACTGCTGCCTGTCGTAAATACGTTGCACTTAATCCCGATAAAATTCCAAAAAGTCCAACAATACAGAAAATATTTCAGTTCTATGCTTCAATGAGTCATGGAGTTACCTTGCGTGCAATTTGTCAGCGCTTGTGTCCGCAGAACAATAACATCGATGAAAGGAAATTGGTTATATTTGGTTTGCAGCACAAAATCATACGCTGCATACACAAATATCCCATATTCACTGGTTCTGTGCCTTCAGGACGACAAAAAATGTACACTGGCCTGTTGAATTTCGATGAAATCTGTTGTAAAACTGGACTCTCACCATTTCATATTGAAAAGGATATCGATAAGGATACTAATGTTACAGTTATATGGAAGTGAAGTTGTCGCTAGTCTAGGTTCAAATTTTTAATAAATATCAAAATTAATTTTATATTAATTGCTCTTTTTTAATTTGCAGAATATGAATATGTATATCTGTAGAAATTGATAAACTTCTAAAACAGAGGTAAGAGATTTGTCCACGTATTTTTAAAATAATTAAAGTTATATAATATTAGTAGCTTAATTAAGACCTTAAGACCTGAACAGTTTTTTTATGTGGGCAATATAAATTATATGTGCACAAATCAGTGTTTCTCAACGTAGGGCGTACGTCTGCCATGGCGGTACTTTGACTGCTAAAGAGGGAAATTTATATAACACGTTTCTGTTGTAGCGGGCTGGGATCTGCTTGTGTAGTCCCTTTGAGGGATGGTGAACGGCACTTGGTTGTCGAAATTGACGAATGGGTCCAGGACGTAGACCGTAATTTGATTTTGTTAACTTTGGAACAATAATGACTTGATACTCGTCTTCTATATATATTTACCGGTATATATTTACCGGTATATATTTACCGGTACCTTCACATCCATAAACGTGCAATATGCTATTGAACTGTCTCCTTTTTCCTTCACCTCAATATTCCTATGACCTGTAACCCATATGAGAGTGATGTCAGTAATTTGGTAGCTTCCACTGGTTTTTGTCATATATTCTCTTATTAGTTTTGATTTAAAGGTGAAAATTTGAAGTACTTTAATTGCAGTCTTTAATCTATTCTCGCTATGATATATAATTAACCGACATACTTCCCTAATCTTTAAGACTTTAGTTGGAAAAACTGTAGTTTGATTAGACACCCGAAAGACTAGTTTTTTTCCTGCGTTTTTCTATCCATGAGAACTGAAATATATTCATTCAAATCATTTGAAATACATCGTCCGCAGTAAATCTCTGAGCTATCCTTGGAAATTGAGATATTATATTTCTCTCTTCTTTTTGATTGCACCCTCTCTGCCGACCAATTTGAGCTATCCGTGAAAATTGAGATATTATATTTCATTTAAAAGATTATTTTTTTCGACTCACTTCCTAATGGAAGTAATACCGTAAAAAATAAACATAGATTGAAATAGCTTGATGTTATCCCATACACATAATTCAGTACTGTTTTCAGAATCCGACTATGTTCTATGACTTTATATATATGCGATGTGTGATCTGCCTGAAAATCTGCCAGCACTGATACAAGCTATATAGCGTAGTAGAAAAATTTAAACTAAATAACTGTTTCTATTAAAATTCGTTGATAAATCAGACTCGTATTGTCATATTGAACCTTTTCCGAGTTACTGCATCTGGACACTTTTACTCTTTGATAGCTGTGAGGTTTCTGCAGAGTCCCATCCATCTCATTGACTAATTTATGTAATCCGCATAAGCTTTGTGATTATTCAATGACTGATCTAAGGTCTGCGTTCCACGCCATGCTGTTAGTGATTACTCTGAGATTAGATAGTGTTAAGTACGGAAGCCTGTGCTAAGTAGAGAGCTCTATTCCTTATATATTTTTTGACCGGGTCTATTTTAAGGTCTCTTAACATGTCATTCGTGCGGATGTACCATGACACTTTGAAGAGTCTTCGGAGAGTCTGACTTTGAGCAACTTGTAGCTTCTAAATAGTAGAGTCGGCAGCTTTGCTATATGTGACAGATCCATAAAGTAGTGCTGGTCTAATTATTTGGCTGCAGATAAGCTTTCTGTTCTTCATGTTAAAGTTGTTGTGTTTGAAAAGTGGTTGTATGTATTGCAGTGTTTTTGCGCAACTATTTCTTTTGATTTGTATGTGCTTCCCTGTGCCAAAAGAACCGCTTATCAAACGGGATTCCTATGTAATTAATACTGTCCTCTCACTCTCGGTGAATGTTGCAGATGTTTACGAGTAATAAACAGGGCCTAAAATGCGTATTTAAATATCTTAATTGGATTAACTGTTATTGACGCATTGAATTGTTTTTGCCTGGACTTTTATTTTTGGAAGAGAGGACTATGCTTTGAGACAGTATGTTTAGGGAAATGTTGAAAATTGATCTCCCAAATCCATATGATTTTTTTTTGTTTCCTGCATCATTAACATACGCTATAGGACTATATCTTGGTATATATTGAAAATGGAACTTTCACTTTCATTTCCTGCATTTATGCCAAATAAATCGAAAATAGATTATATTATATATAGTTATATATAATACTCTTTTTCTCTGAATTCTTGAAGTTGATTGAGAAGAAGAGCACAATGTCAATTTAAAGAAATCAATTGATCGCAATTTTAATTATGCTAAGATTTGCACAATCAATCAAAAGGTTCGGAACCACTTAATACCAATTTGATGTTGAACTGTGATCGATGTTGGTTGCAACCGCAGATACTTTACGTCAACTTTACGTCGTGCACTTCGCATTTGTATCTCAGCGTTGAAACTATGAAATTCAGTCAAACTCGAGCGGTTCAATGGTGAACATGTAGTGCGCGGTAGAAGCAATAACCGAGTAAGAGAGATAAGTGAATTAACAACAACAAAAGAAATACACAAAACCGATCATACTGCGTGGCACATAGATACGCACTAATACATGCAAGCCAAGAATTGTATCTGTGTGAGCATTTTGCTTTGTTGATTTCGTATGAATTTGCCAGTGAAGAAAAATGAATTAATGCTGTAGTTGTGTGTGACGTGCGTGATTGTGTTGTGAATCATCTATCAAAGCAAAATAATATACAAAATAAAAGAATTTCAATTCGGAAACAACAACAACAACAACAACAACAACAAGAAATTTATGAAAAAGCAATTCAAAATATTTAGTTTATCATTGGAGAGTGAAAGAAATGCGAATTTTTTTTTGTCAACATCAGCGACAACAACAACAACAACAACAAATTGTTAAATAAAAAGTAAGAATTGGTGAAATTAGTTAATTGATAAATTATTAAGAAATAGAAAATTTTAAGTATCTTGAAATCGAATAACTGTTCAGTTAATTTGTTTATAATTGTCATTTTTTTCCTTAAGTTTATTTGTTAATTAATTAAGGGAAAATTTTAAATCTAACTTTGACCAATTTTCTATGCATAAATTAATGAAGTTTTTGTTCGAAGTCATAACTCAGATACTTTTTTATTTGTTTTGAAACTTGTTGAAAGCGATTCCAAAGAACCAAGCCGGTTTCTCTTATTGACAGAACACACAAAAAAAAAAGAATAATAAAAAATCAAAAAAAAAATGTATTTGTATCTATTAAAAGAGATAAAAAGATTAATATATTTTTTTATAAATATTTACATTTTATTCAATGCACTTTCAATGCAAGAAGTTTCGCTTTCGTTCTAGTGAGCATATACTGGTTTGCTATACACTTCAAAAAATTAAAAAAAAATATAAAAAAAGTTTTAAAAAATTACTAAAGTATTTTTTTTAAACTATGTGTTTTATTGAGCTTTTGGAATAGCAAAGAAAGAAATAAAGGACAAACACAAAAATTTATTTTAATTTTTATTGGAATTTGGCTAACTATACAACGCTGTTTCGAGTATTACCAAGTACTCTTCATCAGTGGTCTTAGGAAATAATCAAATTTTATTTAATTAGTTTATAGTCCGTACATAATTTGTTTGGACTGCAAGTGCCAGGCTTAGAACTCGTGCCTGTCAAATTAGAAGCGATGACTAATCGTGTTTATCCACACGATTTCTTTCTAAAAACAACAAAAATTTTTAAAAAATTACTAAAGTAATTATATATACTTATAATATAATAAAATAATATTATTATATATATAACATTTTTTACATGTATTACATTTTTTGTATTTATATATTGTTATATATTATATATTGTTATATATTATATATTTAGTTTTCCGGGTAATTGGTTAATTTTTTGTATTGTCAACTAAACTTTTAAAAAAATGTCAATTAAGATATTAAATGAAAAAATCGCAATTATTTAATTAATTAAAAAAAAAACATTTAAACACCAATATTTCGACTATATTCTGTAGTCATGAATAGGCTAATCTTCAGCTTGAGTTTTTCAATTAATATATTTATTGACGGTCTTTTTTAAATATGGTGAAAGTACATATAATTGATTAATTAACCCGTAAATTATATAAAAAAAATTAAATTTGGTCACAAAAAATATAATTTTTAAACTATAAAAATGCTCTTATAAAGCGTATGATGCTTTAAATATGAGCGGTGAATACCTTTTTTACAGACCTGCTTAATCGGGAACCTAATTATTTCATTTACAGAACATAGATATAAGATTATAGATCCTATAAAGTATCGAATATTTTAATCTTAGCATTGTATAATTCTTATAGAGCCATTTAACACGGAAACTTAGCTCTCTCTTTGTCTTATAAAGCACAGAATATTTTTAATCTTAATCTTAAATAAAAATGATTTATTTTTTTTTATTATAATTAATGTTTTTACTCAAGATTTTTTGTTGAAATCGCGATTTTGGAATTTTAACCCATTATTTAGAAAGATCCAGATGTTTAGAAGAAAAACGGGTTACAGATTTGAGGTCAGCAGCTTCAAATTCATATAACACCAATGAAAAATCTAAAAAAATTTAGTTTCATAATGTTATTAACAATTATATATGATCAAAATCAAGTTTTTATTCATATACTAATACTCTGCAGATATATATATTCTATTGAACTTATAGTTCAATCATTTGTATTGTGAATTATATTTTTAAAAAACAATCCATAAATATATTAAAAAAAAAGAAATTAGTTGTAAAAAAACATAGTTATCTCTAGGGTATTTACTAACTTTATTTTTAACGTCTGCTCTGACGAAAGAAACTATGTTCCAAGAACGGCTGGGTCTACGTTCTGGTGTCACTCGTCGAAAACGACCAAGTGCCGTTCAAAGGGGTCACACAAGCAGATCCCGGCGGGCTACAACAACAACAACAACAACAACAACAACAACGAAAGAACCTACATTCTTAATATAAAGTATTGTTTTCAATAGAGAGATTTCATCGAACAGTAGTAAATTGCAACAACAAAATTTTTTATTATTTTTAATTAATTGAATTAATAGTTAATTAAACTTTGTGATAAACATATGATTAATATATTTAAATTATTATTAT